ACGACCGCAGAAAGTGAAACTAAAGCATCAGAAAATGAAGTTTTTTTTACCAAATACAGAATCGCCAGATTGTTGGAACGATAAGCAAGTGAAGTATTTTACAGAAGAATACCCACGAATGTTTTTCTATAATAAAAAAATTGGTTGCAAAATATGTTCCAAGGCCAATTTTAATTTAACAAAACATCAAGGAATGGATTCACAAGAATGGATTAATGGATAAATATGTTCAGTTGGAGATGATTTCAAGAAACAGCAAACAAATTTAAGAAAAAAAATTTCAAAACATAAATCTTCTCAAAGCCATTTACACACTGACTGAACGTATAATTGAAAAACAAAAGTTGGAAATTATGCCAGCTCAAGTATTAAAAACTTTATATATTGACATTGAAAATACAAAAAAAAATATTCAGGACAGCATACAGCATAGCAAAGAATCAAAGACCTTACACAGACATGACAAAATTAGTAGATCTTTAAATAATTAATGGCTTGGATATGGGGAGAATTCTTTAAACAAATAAAGCATGTAGCAATATTATTGATCATATAACCTTTGAAATGCAAAAGAAACTTTGTCTTGACCAAAAGCATAACAAAAGAAAAATATGTATTATTGTTGATGAGTTTACAACGTTAAGCCAAAAGACAATGTTGGTTATTTGTTTGAGATCTGCTGTAGCCAATAACAATGATGTAATAACATAATTTTTAATATTATTGAAGTTCAAAACACATCTGCTAACTCTATAAAAACTGCTATTTTAACTGATCTTTATGCACATGAATCAACGGACGATTTTTTAAAAGAAAATTTGATAGCTTTTGTGAGCGACGGTGCTTCCAATATGTTGGGTAGATTGTTCGGTGTCAGTGTTCAGCTACAAAGCATGTATCCCAACATTTTAATTTGGCATTGCTGTAACCATCGACTAGAATTAGCAGTATCTGATGCATTAAAAGAAGTTCAAGGAACAAATAATTTTCAGTCATTCATAGAAAAAGTGTATGCATTGTATCATCAATCAACCAAAAACATGCATGAACTTAGTAAGTGTGCTGCTTCATTAGAAATGAAACTCTTACATATTGGTAAAATCTTCACTATTAGATGGGTTGCTTCTAGTGAAAAAATATTAAAAGCAGTTTGGAATAATTATGTACCATTATTTGATCATTTTTCCAAAGCACCTAATGATATAAAAAGAGACTAAAAAGAAAGATCTAAATATGTGTGGCCTAAAACGTATTCTAACATCAGTAGAAATTGTTACAAATTTAGGTAAATTTAGTACATTTTGTATTTACATGAAGCTTTTTAATCAACTTTCTTTTAATTTCAGGAATCATGTATGATGGGCTGTCTGAACTTGCAGACTTATCGTTACAGTTGCAAGAAAAAAGTTTATCACTTCCAGCTACAAATAGAACTATAGAACGTACCATTAGAATATTTGTTTCGATGGCTAATATATGTGGACCAAAAACACAAGAAGCTGTGGATGCAGGGATACATTTTATGTTCAAAGATGTACAATTAGTCACAAACAAATCAATTCCTAAAATTAAACATGCACAGTTTTTTATGAGTTTAGCTAATAACTTGCGTGCTAGACTATTTACTACACAAGCAACTCATGTGTCTAAAAATAAAAATGACTTTAAAAATGAATATGATGAACTTTTAAAAGATTTGGATGTGTTAAATTATAATTACTGGCCTGATAATGTTGATATTCAGTATGGAGATGACTGTGTTAGAAGGTTAGTTAGAAGATTTCATTTAGATGAAAAAACTACGATTCGAGGATTTCGTGAGTATAAATATACAAAAGATTCCTCACAAATAAACTATTTAGATCCTCTTTTGACTGCAGTCAGAACAATTGCTATTTCATCTTCTGAATGTGAGCGATCATTCAGTGCGATGAACAACATAGTAACATCAAAAAGAAATGCTTTAACTACAGGGCATATATCTTCATTGGTTTTTCTTAACTGTATCGGACCTCCAGTTCAGTTGTTCAAACCAGATCATTATGTTGAGAGCTGGATTAAAAGTGGCAAAAGAAATTCAGATGAAGTTAACTGTCCCAAACGATCTTTTAAAAATTAAGATAATTCATATAAACATTTATGGACCTTACTTAATACATAATTTAAGTTTTGTTTTGTTTTTATTTATTTTTGTAGAATAATTAATTAATTTACATTTATTGATTTAAAAAAAATAATTAATTAACAAGTGTTTCTTTCTTTTAAAATATTTGTGTATAATAAATTTAATGATTTTCTGGGATTATGAGTTATTGATGGGTGGTGTGGGGGGCTTTGCCCCCCTCCCACGGTAATGTCACAGTTCATCTGTGTGGAACGCTCATTCATCCAACATCCGATGAGTCCCCCTTCTAGTTTTTTTCCAAATCAAGCACTGATCATACTACAATAGGTATAATTTAATTAATCTGTTAGAAGATTTAAAACGAGGACCATCTCACAAGTTTCAAAATTTCTGTAGAATGTCTGTCACAGATTTTGAATATCTTATTCAAAAAATTTGTCCAACCATATGTAAAACAGATACAAATATGAAAAATTGTATTCCGGTTCAGGAAAGGCTAGCTGTTACCTTAAGGATCTTAGCCACAGGAGATAGCTTTAAGAGCTTTTCATATTTGTTTAAGTTTTTAAGTCAAACTGTTTCCAGATGTGTTTAAAATGTTTGTAAGGCGTTAAATCAGGAGTTGAAAAATGAAATCATGGTAAAGTATTTGTGTCTAGGCCAAAATAGCAAAACAATTAACCGCGAATTTAAAAAAAGCGATTATGCATAATAGCGAAACTACAGATTTTTATAATTTCTTTTTCAAATACTATAAAACATATAAAACTAAAACATAAATACTTGATAAAACTTATTATTACCTGTAATTTCTGGCGCAATTAATATATACCTACTACCCAGTAACCAAGGACGTATCGGGTTATCGTCAATGTGCTATCTTAGTTACTATTATGACTATTTGAATATTGGAAATATACCGAGATAAAATTGTCAATCGTATTATATTTGAGCTGACACAATTTAATATAGTTATAATTCGACAGTGCGTAAATGTAGTGTAGCTTGTATTATTTAACTTATTATTTTCGTTCTTTAAAAAAAAAGTGCACAGTGAAAAAATATATTAATATTATTTTCAATGGAATTTGTAAAAAGTAATAAAAATAAGGATTTATTATTGTATAGTGGCTTTTTGCATCGTGAAGACAGAAAACAAAATAACACAATATATTGGCGTTGCGTAGAAAGTTCATGTAAAGGTAGAATAATTACGTTAAACGGAGAAATTAAAAGTCAACCTAAAGAAAACTCACATAATCATGTTCCCGATCGATGTAAAATCCAATGCAAAATGGCTGTTAATAAGATAAAAGAAGCGGCTATTCATACACAAAATACTCCACAGTCCACATGATATAATCAGTACTGTTCAAATAGTACCTGGAGTAGCCGGTGCAATTCCTTCAGTTCATCATTTAAAACACACTATACGAAGAGTTCGAAAATGTAACCAATGCGCACCATCTATTCCGAAAACAGCGAGTGACCTTAAAATTGCTGATGATTATACTAAAACGATGAAAGGAGAACAATTTTGAATATTGGACAGTGGAGCATCACAAGATTGAATTTTAATATTTTCGACCGAAAATAATTTAAAACTAATGGATCAATCAACTAATTGGTTAGTCGATGGAACTTTTAAAACAGTACCTTCACTTTTTTATCAGTTATTTACTATTCATGTACTTATTCAACAAGATAACCAAACAGTTAGTCCTACCATTTATGCATTATTAACCGATAAATCTCAATTAACATATACACGTTTTCTTAAATATTTATTAGAAATAAAACCATCTTTAAATCCAACATCGGTAATAATGGACTTTGAACACAATCAATGCATTCAAAACTGTTTTTTCACATGCTGAACAACAAGGTTGTTTTTTCATTTTTCTAAATGTATGTGGCGACAAATTCAAAATGTTGGTCTAGTCGAAAATTATGTTAATAATGCTAACTTTGCTCTTCATATTCGTATGCTAGCTGCTTTGGCCTATGTTCCACCAGATAACGTAATTAATGCATACGAAGAAATTTTAGAAACACAATTTTATGTGGAAAACGAAGACTTGGTAATGCCATTCTTGGATTATTTCGAGGATAACTGGGTAGGAAAAATAACAGAAAGACGAAAAACTCGACGACAACCAAGACATCCTACTGATATTTGGAATTGTCACTATTCAGCCAAAAATGGTCTTCCAACAACAAACAACACTGTTGAAGGGTGGCACAGAGGATTTACATCTGTTATTGGTTCGTATTATTTTATTAATAATTAGTATCTTTAGTAAAAGAATAGATATTCTTTAGGAGCAAGCCACCCTATTATATGGAAAGTCATAGATGGAATTAAGAAAGATCAAAATATAGAAGAATTAAAACGAGAGCAGTATAATGCTGGAGAACAACCACGGAAAAAAAAAAGTACAAGGACTGTAATGAAAGAATTCATGCATTAGTTACAAATTATAATACTAATGAGAATAAGAACTTCATAAAAGGTATAGCATATAATTATATTTAAATTGAATATAATTATTTTATTTAAAATTATCATTATTATTACTATAAATACTTATTATTAGAACTTAACAATATTATAATTATAATGAATGTAATTTAATCTCATTTATAAACTATTTTTATCCATTTTTTTATTGTAATAAATGTTTGATTTTCGCTATTATCAATTCGCGGTAATTGTTTTGCTATTTTGGCCGGATACCAAAGTATTTATATTTTAAAACATATCTTTTATTATACCTTTTAATATTAAAATAAAAACAAATAGTTAATAAAATCAAAATGGAAACCTTGAAAAACACTTTTCACATTAATATTTAAAATTAATAAATAATAAAACAGAATGTATTATAAAACTTTTAATAAAAAAAAATTAATATCTATGTACAAAAACAATATTTAGTACCTTTACATACCTATAGCATTGATTAAATATACATAGATAGTCCAAGTCAATAGACAATATGGGAACACCAAGATTAGTAGCTTAAGAATGTCAATAGGTAGCGGGTACATCTTTCCGTGTGTTACGGGGTATGACCAGTTCTTTCGAGTTACCCTGGAGACACTCAGCCTCTTTGTATAACCGCGAGGTTATCTTTTCCGGGCGGTAGACCCGGATGACTACGGAGGTCCCGCCCGGGGCGTCGCCTCACCACGGGCGCCATAATGAGTGACCGCCGCGGCCAGGGCCCGACGTATTATCGCCCGAGTCAAACCCCTACTATTAAGTTGGTACTTCCACAACCATCACGAGTCCTTCCTCAAGTGAGTCTTCCCCGGTGCGGGCGAGCGCGTGTCCTCGGTGAGTCCGCGCGGTCGTGCGCCTCGGGTCCGACACCCCAGAGCGTCGAGGCGATATTAGCAAGCCGACTCGACGGGGCTTACTCCGAGTCCCGTGGTACGAGGTTTGAACCCGGCGTTCAGGCCCTCGCAACTGCCTTGTCCGCAAGCAGGTCGATCGAGGCACCGCTGTGTGTACCGTGACGATACCCTTATAGTGCGTACGGTTTTGTCTTTATTGACAGATTGCCGTCTCTGCCGATGCCTCTCCCGTATCAAGCCCCGAGCCGGCTGAATACGTGCACGTGCTTCGCCCGAAGTGAGGTCTGGCCCCTCTAGTTCGAGCTCTCGGTCTAGGCAAGAATTTGTTCATAGGAAGCGAGGTCACCCAATTCGCCCCGCAGGATTTCTCCGTCCGACCCGGTTCCGAAGAGACCGGGAATTCAGTCCGTCCCGCGAGGTATCCCGTCCCTCGCTCCCGGCTAGGCGGGTCTTGGTACGGAGGGCGTTCGACGATCCTGTGGGGGCGCCGTCTT